AAAAAAAAAAAAAGACCAGCCTGGGCAATATGGTGAGAACTTTCTCTATTTAAAAAAAAGAAAGAAAGAAAGAAAGAAAGAAAGAGAGAGAGAGAGAGAGAGAGGGAGGAGAGAGAGAGAGAGGAGAGAAAGAAAGAAAGAAAGAAAAATAGTTGGTAAAACAATTAAGAAGAATGTCCTACTTAGAGATAAAGACTACAAGAACTAGCCAGGGTGTACTTGGAACGTTCATAGGGAACAGATAAACAAAGCAGAGACTGCCAGCAATTTCTCTTCACCCTGCTAGTTCACAGAGTAACTGCCTGGTGTCCGATTTGTCCAGTAGCTGTCAGTGAATGGATAAAGCCAGTGTGACAAAGCCCCTTTTGTCACCTTCCTGCCCAATAAGGGTAAGGAGTGGGGCTTTCTTTAGCCTTGGGCTGAAGGATATTGAATCCCTTGGAAAAATGGAAAATAAAAATCTCATGGGAAATTGCCTTTTTTTCCTTATTTATTTATTTATTTATTTTGAGACGGAGTCTCGCTGTTTGACCCAGGTTGGAGTGCAGTGGTGTGATGTTGGCTCAATGCAACCTCTGCCTCTCAGGTTCAAGTGATTCTCCTGCCTCAGCCTCCTGAGTAGCTGGGATTACAGGCGCCTGCCACCATGCCTGGCTAATTTTTGTATTTTTAGTAGAGATGGGGTTTCACCATATTGGTCAGGCTGGTCTCGAACTCCTGACCTCAGGTGATCTACCTGCCTCGGCCTCTCAAAGTGTTGGGTTTATAGGTTTGAGCCACTGCGCCCAGCCCAGAAATTGTTTATTAATGAAAGGAACATTACCCTGAAATCAGAACTTCTCAAAAATTGTTTATCTTAGTCATTAATGTTTCACTATCTGGGCCTTCCTTGTGCTTTATTCTCCAAAACCGATAGTATCATATACTTGTGTATTTTACTTGATTTTGTTTTTATTTATTTTTGTATTTTTTGAGAGATGGGGTTTCACTCTCTTGCTCAGGCTGGAGTGCAGTGGCACAGTCACAGTTCATTATAGCCTTGAACTCCTGGGCTCGAGGGATCCTTATACTTCAGCCTCCTGAATAGCTAGGACTACAGGTGAGCACCACTGTGCCTGGCTGATTTTTAAATTTTATTTTATTTGTAGAGACAAGATCTTGCTATGCTGCCCAGGCTGGTATCAAACTCCTGACTTCAAGCGATACTCCTGCCTTGGTGTCCCAAAGTGCTGGAATTACAAGCATAAGCTACTGCACTCAGTCCACTAGTGTATCATCTGTGACAGCCAGCTGAAAATCTGCTACTTGAGGCCTGGCATGGTGGCTCACGTTTGTAATCCAAGAACTTTGGGAGGCTGAGGCATGTGAATCACCTGAGGTCAGGAGTTCAAAACAGCCTGGCCAACATGGTGAAACCCCGTCTCTACTAAAAATACAAAAATTAGCTGGGTGTGGTGACAGGCACCTGTAATCCCTACTACTCGAGAGGCTGAGGCAGAATTGCTTGAACCTGGGAGGCAGAGGTTGCAGTGAGTCAAGATGCACTCCAGCCTGGGTGACGAGTAAATTTCCATCTTAAAAAAAAAAAAAAAGGAAAGAAACAAAAAAACCCCCACTACTTGAACAGATAACACTTATTACTGACTCCAAACAGATAATACTAAATTAACTGACTCCAAACATATTGTGGGTATTAGGATCTGGTTTAAGAAGCCACAGCAAGCCTGGGTGTGGTGGCTCACACCTGTAATCCCAACACTTTGGGAGGCTGAGATGGGAAGATTACATGAACCTAGGAGTTCAAGACTAGCAGGGGGCAACATAGTAAGACCCTGTCTCTACAGAAAAGAAAAGAAATATTTTTTTAACAAAACAGTCTCTGGGAAGGGGACCGCACATTTGTCCCTGAGTCAGATGTGCTCCTTCTTGGGCAGAATGATTACCTTGAGGGTGGTGCCAGGTGGTCTCTGGCTTCCCCTAGAGGTGCTTTGCCTTGTTTACCTACCACAGGGCTTGACTCAAGTTGCTCACTAAATATTTGTTGAATGGATGATGAACTAAAATTGACTATTGTGAATTCCCAAGTTCCTTCAAAGTGTTTGATAATTGTTTTGTCTTGATTCTGCCAAAGATTATCTGACCTTTTGATGCCAGACTTGGCATTATTAATTTGGAAGTCTGAAGGAGAAAAATACTCCAATTTGGCCGGGCGCGGTGGCTCAAGCCTGTAATCCCAGCACTTTGGGAGGCCGAGGTGGGTGGATCACGAGGTCAAGAGATCGAGACCATCCTGGTCAACATGGTGAAACCCCGTCTCTACTAAAAATACAAAAAATTAGCTGGGCATGGTGGTGCGTGCCTGTAATCCCAGCTACTCAGGAGGCTGAGGCAGGAGAATTGCCTGAACCCAGGAGGTGGAGGTTGCGGTGAGCTGAGATCGCGCCATTGCACTCCAGCCTGGGTAACAAGAGTGAAACTCCGTCTCAAAAAAAAAAAAAAAAAAAAAGAAAAATACTCCAATTTATTGAGAGGGAAAAAAAGGTAACCGGAAAATAATGGACTGTATTAGCAGTCTAAAAGGAATATCTCCGTTGTCTTGAAGTTGAGCCCTGCATCAATCTCAGGGAGAAATGTTTTTTAATCACAGGACGCTTTGGAATAGTCATGAAAAGTCCAAATTACGAGGGTGAAATGGGAAGTTCCAGGATTTGAAATGAACCTGGAAGTGGAAAACATTGTGAGAATAAAGGGATGCCCTTGAACTTGCTCACTCTCAAATGCACCATGCCTTAGAGGGAGGTGTAAACATGAATTGGAAGAGACTGGGAGGAAATGGCCTGATGACCCTTCAAGCTAGAAAGCATCTCTTGCTGAGTATTTCATTCAGCCAACACGACCTCTGCTGTGTGGACGACAGGCTTTCCACTTTGCTGTAATGAGGGCAGCATCACTTCCATTGTCAGGGTAGAGCTGATAATTGTTGAAGAACTGGTGCCTGAAGAACCTGCTCCCATGGGTAGGAATTGATGACATGGGGAAGGGAGATACAGTCCTGACCCCACCCCTACCCCAAGAGGGGGATGTTTGAGGATGCATGGATAGTCCAGGGAAGAGCAGGAGGAAGCTAATGTGAGAAGTGAATGCTGAGAGAGCGTCCTGGAAGGATTTCAAGGCTCTCACCCCTTTTTAAAGGCAGAGCCTGTCTGGGAATGGTGGCTCATGCCTGTAATCCCAGTGCTCTGATAGGCTGAGGTGGGAGCATCACTTGAGCTCTGGAGTTTGAGGCTTCGGTGAGCTATGATTATACCACTGCACTCCAGCCTGGGTGACAGAGTGAGACCCTGTCTCTTAATAAGTAAGTAAGTGAATGAATGAATGAATGAAGGAAGAGTCTGCATCAGGTTTGATCATCCCTGGCAGAAGCTAGCAATCCAAAAAAAACTTTTTTTTTTTTTTTTTTTTTGAGACAGAGTCTCGTGCCGGCGCCAGGCGCCAGGCTGGAGTGCAGTGGCTCGATCTCGGCTCACTGCAACCTCCGCCTCCTGGGTCCAAGCAATTCTCTTGCCTCAGCCTCCCGAGTAGCTGGGACTACAAGCACACACCACCACACCCAGCTAATTTTTATATTTTTAGTAGAGACTGGGTTTCACCATGTTGGCCAGGATGGTCTCAATCTCTTGACCACATGATCTACCCACCTTGGCCTCTCAAAGTGCTGGGATTACAGGTGTGAGCCACCGCAACCGGCCCCAATCCAAATTTATAATCATTGGAAATAGTCTTTCCTTCTAATATCTTTCTCATATTTCATTCTTCGTTTCTCTGGGTAATCTTTGTCAGGAATTTATATCTAAGGGAGAAGGTCCAGGGAGGTTTTTTGTTTGTTTTTTTGAAACAGAATCTCAAAGCCCAGGCTGGAGTGTAGTGGCACGATCTCAGCTCACTACAACTTCTGCCTCCCAGGTGCAAGCTGTTTTCTTGCCTCAGCCTCCCCTGTAGCTGTGACTACACATGCGTGCCACCATGCCTGGCTAATTTTTGTAATTTTAGTAGAGATTATGTTTCACCATGTTGGCCAGGCTGGTCTCAAACTCCTTACCTCAGGTGATCTACCCACCTCAGCCTCCCAAAGTGCTGGGATTGCAGGCATGAGCCACTGCACCCAGCCTCCACAGAGGTTTTTGAAAATTAAGTTTCAGCAGGGCACAGTGGCTTACACCTGTAATCCCAACACTTTGGGAGACCAAGGTGGATGGATCATTTGAGGTCAGGAGTTTGAGACCAGCCTGGCCAACATGGTAAAACGTTGTCTCTACTAAAAGTACAAAATTAGCCGGGTATGGCGATACACGCCTGTAATCCCAGTTACTCGGGAGGGTGAGACAGGAGAATTGCTTGAACCTGGGAGGTGGAGGTCACAGTAAGCTGAGATCATGCCACTGTACTCCAGCCTGGGTGACAGAGTAAGACTCTTGTCTCAAAAAATAAAAAAAATATGTTCCAAGATCTCCCCATACCCAATGAGAAGAATGAGACCAAATCTTTCTGTTAATGGCAGCTAAATGGAAGGGCAGGTGGGTTTCCCTTGGCATTCAGGCTGGCCTAAGCCCAAATCCCCGGGAGGCTGCCAGCAGGTGTTAGGTAACTCTGGTTATTAGCAGCAGTTGCTTCAGATACCGCTGCAGTAACCGGGTATGACCCAGCAGACACAGGCAAAGGTGAGAGTGGGTTAACTGTGTTGTGAATGGGAGTAACCTCAGATGAAAGCTGGGGCTTGCTCAGCTGCAAAAAGTTGGAAGGCTTCCCCTGCCTTCATGAGGTGCCATTGTAAGCTAGTGTGATGGTAAAAATTTCCGTAACACTTGACTGGGCAGCCATGTTAAGCTGATAAAGTCAAGATCTTTTCTAGGGGTTAATAAATGGAATTAATCCCCAAATACAAATTTTAACTGTTTCAGGGATGTGAATACCGCTGTGATGGAGTTGCTGATCATGGCTTATGCACTGAAGACTTCCTGTGCCAGGAATATTATCGGAGTCATACCCTACTTCCCCTACAGCAAGCAGAGCAAGATGAGGAAGAGGGGTTCTATTGTGTGCAAGCTCCTAGCGTCCATGCTGGCGAAAGCAGGTGAGGGCGGGGGCCCTGGGGATCTAGCATGCTCATTTACGGCTCTTACCTAGTCGGGTTTAGTTCATACCTCAGATATCCAATTCGGGGTCTAGGTGTTTGTTTCCTTTTGAACAGTTTTGGCTAAGGATACATGAGCTTGGTTAGAAATTCTTTTTACCCCCGTTCTCTTTGTCTTACTTTAGAAGACCACTGCATCATTGTCTTCTACTCTTCTCTATCATCTGTCACGTATTTTCTATTTCATCTTGTCATTGTTAAATCTTTAGCTGGCAGTCTTGGCATTCTTATGTGCCCTTTTGATCTTCAGGTCTAGATTTATGCATCTGCTTTGTTAGCTAAATTCTGTTTTTGTTCATAGTATTCGAGCTGGATTTTCTTTTACTGCTTCTCCCCCACCCTTGCCCTTCTACACAGTGGCTCGTTTTCATTGCTTTATTCTCCTTATGTAGTGGGGGCATACTTTCTGGTCTGTAAATCAATGTAATATTTTACAATTGGGTTTCTATTCATCTGATGTCTACTCTAAAACTTTAACATATATTTGGGTCCTCAGAAAGAAATGTATGGTCCTCCCTTGATATCCTTACAGGATTGGTTCCAGGAACCCATCTCCCCCTTCCCCGGCTCCCCAGCAGATACCAAAACCTGAAGATGCTCAAGTCTTTCATATAAAATGCCACAGTGTTTGCGTATAACCAACACAGTCATCTCTAGATTACTTATAAATAGCCAATACCATATAAATACTATGTAAATCATTGTTGTGCTGTCTTGTTCAGGGAATAATGACAAGAAAAAATTTCATACCTGCTCAGTACAGACACAACCATTATAGGCCTAACGACATTTTCAGTCTGTGTTTGGTTGAATCCACAGATGTGGAACCCGTAGATCCAGATAGTCAACTGTATGAGAATTTCTCCAAAAAAGTATAATGTTGCTGGAAAGAACAAGTAATACTGAAAGTTTTGCTCTGACCTTTGGCCATTTGCAATGTGCTTATTTATCTACCTTTTCCTCTTCGGTACTCTTGACTGTGAGAGTATCTCTTCATTGTTTTTCTATAAGAATAGGTGAAACATTCTTTATTACATAAGAAATTATTCTGAACTTCAATATCTTTGTGTTATATGAGTTTCTTTTTCTTCTAATATGTATACTTCTTTGATTTGTGTTCTTGATACTTTTTGCCTTTGCTGCAGTTCTTTATCGTTTCTTTTGAGATTCTTTAATCAAGGCCTTACTGTTTTTTACATCTCTTTGGTATCAATTCCATATTCACATATTTGTTTCTGCCACATTATTTTCTCAATTTTTAGGACCAAGCCAATAATCAGTAATTCACACTTTCTCAGCTCTAGTTCTTTGTCCATGTGGAAGGTCGTAGTCTTCTCTACATTAAGGTTCATGATCAAGCCTGTGACTGCCACACTTAATCACAGTATCCCCTGTCTTCAGTCTGCTGGTAGGAAGCAGGAGTTGAGCATCTAGTTTATGTCCACTGTACCTATTAACCTGTAGGGGTGAACTTTGTAATTTTTTGTTTTAAAATTTCAGGTTTAACTCACATTATCACTATGGATCTTCATCAAAAGGAAATACAAGGCTTTTTCAGCTTTCCCGTGGACAACCTTAGAGCCTCACCTTTCCTGCTTCAGTATATCCAGGAAGAAGTGAGGAACCACCAGCAAATACCCCATTGTCCTCAAAAGAGATCTTATTTAGTTTTTCTCTGGTATCAGATTTCGATATTGAAAGGCACATCAAATGAGCTCTCCCTTAAGTCGCAATGCCTGAGGCAACAGAGAGGGTCAGCTTTAGTCCTGGAGGATCATAGCTTTAAAAGACAGTAAAAATGGACTTTTTTCTACGTATCTTTAGCAATTTGCTTATGTTTTCTAAAATGAAGCTTTTAAGAATTTTTTTTTTAAATATTCTCGATGTACGAGTGCTTTTGCAATGACGTCAGTTGATAAATACTGAAAACTCTAAAACTTGTGACTGAAATTCTAGCATATTTGATGACTAGTTTGGATCATTATTACAAGAGGGAAGACTAATATCAGCATCCAGGTGTTGTTTTCTGATAATTTTTCAGTATTTTCTATTTTTCCTTCAAATCTAGATTCCAAATTACAGAAATGCAGTCATTGTAGCTAAGTCTCCTGATGCTGCAAAGAGGTAAGTAATCAGACGTCGGTCTTGATCCCTCCTGAGTGCTCCCAAAGTGAGAATGAACTGCTTTGGAATTCCGAGGCTATCACTTGTGGCCTGTAAGAGCCTACTGGCTCTCCTATTACCCTTCCATCATTGTCACGTCCCACGCCACACACAGCTTTATCTCCAGCCTCCAGACAGCACGCATCGTCACTGAGTTACCCAGCTTTCCTTTGGGAAAACGAAGCTCCTTCAAGTTCTCAGAGAAAGGAAAGCAGTGAGGCTATGAGCATTTTCAGCCAATGGTTTTTAACGTTGTTCTTCCTTCTGAAGATGACTATTAGAATATTAGACAAAGGACAAAATCAAAATTATCTAGAATCAGAGCCGGGCATAGTGGCTTATGCCTGTAATTCCAGCACTTTGGGAGGCCAAAGCGGGAGATCGCTTGAGCCCAGGAGTTCAAGACTGGCTTGGGCAACATAGTGAGACCCCATCTCTACAAAAACACAAAAATTAACCAGTTGTGGTGGCATATGCCTGTAGTCCCAGCTATCCAGAAGGCTGAGGTGGGAGGATCACTTGAGCCTCAGGAGGTTGAGGCTGCAGTGAGCCATGTTAATGCCACTGCACTCCAGCCTGGATGACAGTGAGACCTTGTCTCAAAAAAAAA